TTATAAAAAAACAATTAAACGGTTTAAATTTACAGAGCGACACTGAAAGGTTTCCAGATAATTACATAACGACACTTTTAAATCATCCCCACCATCCTACTTTAGTTTCCCACCCCTAAAAATATTTCCATGTTTAAAGTAAAGAGGTTACTTGTAACAACAAATTCTTGCCACATTCTCTTTCCGTAATGACTAACTTCAAGTCCTTTCACATGGATGTCGTCGAAACTCCTTTGAGACAGAGGTATTTATTAATTATCAACTTAAGGCTTATTGTTCGCCCTTTTTTTAATATTATAAGTCAGAAAGAAAAAGGAAAATATTTATAATTTTTAGTCTGGAAACTGTTGTTCTCAATTCATGGTCGATGTCAATACCTTAACAAACTCATTATCAGAATTGTAAAGACATAAAGAAAATTATATTGTATATCGTTATATTTTGATCTGATTTATATGCGAATCATTTTTAAAGTTGACATCATTCTTATTTGCGAATTGACGTTAGATTGACATTTATAGAACCGATGAATATCGTGTATTGTATAATAATTGACTAACATGCGAAAAGTAGTGCCCCGGTACATATTATTATTTAAAATACATTAGGGGAATTAAATTAAAAGTTTTGTATATACTGAAGATGGTCACATTAATGACCAAAACGTTTATATTTATGTAATTTTTAGTATTATTAAATACACGAGATTTTCGCTACCTTTAACCAGCGTGTGGTATATGCTCCTTCTTCTTATTTTTATTTTTAACTTAACCACTTGATCTTTAAATAATTTTGATCTTTTAGAGTCTTTGGACGCGCTAAAGGGACTTGCAGAAACCCCGACACAGCGAGATCAGGTCAGCTCTGCCCCATGCGGGCCTTTGAGGTTGTTGATACTAGAAGACATCTTCTCCCTAGCAGCGACGGACCATTATACTGCTCTAGTTCTTTCGAAGCTCTTCTATCTCGGCCAGAGGTGGATCTTGAAGAGGGTGATAACTTTGATAGACGCACATGTGGTGCTGAAGCAACCTTTCTGGGGCTATTCAACGAGAAGATTGGGTCGGCCATGTGCCTTTTTACGGACGGGTCATGTGTACAGGACTCGCAATATGCGGGCTTTGCGGTGACTTCTTTGGATGGTTCTATTTCTGAGAAATACAGGTGCGCGGGGTTTGTCTCTTCCTACTATATGGAGGCAATGGCGATTCTTACAGCTCTGGAGTTAGGGGATAGGTATGGATGGTCGAAACTAGTTATTTTCTCGGACTCCAAATCTGTGCTGAGCGCTGTTAACGCAACTTTTGATCACCGCAGCAGCTCGTATCTCATTCTCTTTATCAAAGACCGGATTATCAGACTATCTAGAGACATGGGGACCGAGGTCAAGCTCGTATGGATCCCCAGTCACATAGGGATCTCAGGCAATGAGCGAGCGGACAGACTAGCGAAAGAAGCTATTACTTCTGGCAGGGACACGCAGTTGGGTATTCCTACCTCGGAGTTTAGAAACTTGTGGAACCGAATGATGTACAGTGATACGTTTGAGTGGGTTAAGAGTAATGCGCCCGTTCGCGGCGCGAGATATTGTGATAATTATTTGGTGGAATCTAAACACGTTTGGTTTAGAGATTTCAAGGCCAAGAGGAAAACGGTAGTTTCTATCAATAGAATCAGATCCGGGCATACTTCCTTAAGGAAGAGTTTGTTCCGGTTTCGTATAGTGGATTCTCCGCTGTGCATTAGATGTGATGTTGAGGAGACTATAAACCATGTTTTCTGGGAGTGTATCGCCTTCGCGGATCAGAGGTTGGTGCTGCAGAGGAACTTGGTTAAGGAAAGGGGCTTCCTCCCACACCCTGTCGAATATCTTATGGCTACTATCGATGATGATATAATCGGTATCTTGGACACATTTATTTCTTCGATTGATAAGTTTATTTAACATACTTCTTTTGTACATTAAACGCGTGATAGTTTAGGTGTAAGCTTGTAACTACCTAATTTTTATACTCGGACTAGCTCGTCGGAAAAATGCGTGTCATATAAAAAAGGTTCGGCGGAAAGAGTATTCGCGTCGGAACGGTGCGGCGGAAAATTATGTGAAGCGTCGGAAATCGGAAAAGAAAAATACTAATGCGAAAATAAGAATTAGACAAGAAACATGGTTTATTAAGACAATTATATGATAAAGAAATTACAATAATAGACGAGAAAATAACATATAGAAATATATAACTAACGGACGCGACTGACAACAATACAGCGAAGAAAATAAACGAGCGCGGGTAACAGAATATATGTATATCTAAACGAGCGCGGACAACAGGAATATGTATATATAGATTATCGCTGAAAACGGACGCGGACACTGCAACGACAACTAACTCTCAAACGGCGCGAGATATGTGCAGGCGATCGCGGGTTTTCTCGGCGGCGAGTTGCAACGCGGCGGAACGCGGGTATACGCCAGCAAGCGTCGTTTCGCGGCGCGATACGTAATTTTGTTTGCTAGGATAAAGGAAACGGAGTTGGTACTTGACGGCCGGGAGCGCCCGACAGAGGCAGGGAGCGCCCTACCCCTTTTCGAATGTCAAGTACCAAGACGGGATTTTCGGGATGCGGAAAAGAAGGTACGGAAGGTGGGAGTGATAACTAATTACGGCTGTCCGGCGGCCGGGAACGCCCGGCAGAGGCGGGGTACACCCCACCCCTCAGGTTCGTCGGAGCAACACGCGAATTAGCTTGTGCGCTTTTAGATGCGTTTCCTGGACGGCTCGTTCGGCGGCCGGGAGCGCCCGGCAGAGGCAGGGTACACCCTACCCCTCAGGTTCGTCGGACGAGCGAGTCGCTGGATCGGTATCGTGAGCTGGTGATCGGATCGGATGTGTCAGGAAAGCTGTGAAGGCAAAATGCGTCGCGCGGCTTGATATCGTGGTATCTTATACTCGACCGCCAGTCTCGCTCGCAATACTTCGGCCGGTCGCGGTATTTTCCGCCGATCAGCTTCTCGTGGGAGAAGATTTCCGATCGGCGGTCCCCGACGACGGTCGGTACCTTTCGGCGAGACTGGCGGTTCTAACGGGAGCTGCTGTTCCTGCGAATTACTTTAACATACGAGCAGGCGCCTCGCTCCTACTCCCGTTGGCACCACGCGGGAACGATGCATTTTAGGGGGGCATCGTTACAAGCTTGTATATAATTTAAGTTTAAGTTTAAATTTAAGCTTTAGGTTTAAGCTATATGTATTGTGTGTTATCACAGTGTATTATATTTTATGCTATGTATTTAATCCTACGAGATCCGATATCCGTACTCGCACTCGTATGTGTGCTAATACGTGCAATTTATCCGTGTATTTCTCCTTTCTGTTGTACGTTAATTTATTTTAGATTAACATTTTATATGTTAGCTTGCGTATACTGTCAGTCTATCCGTTAGATTGAATACCGTTTTACTTTCAAACGCAAGAGAGCTTTACACTCTCCTCGCTAATGTAATCGCGCCTTAAGTTATCTAGGGATTTAAGTTTGTGATTTTGCCTCTATGTTTCACCGGCCCGATAGGCTCCCCCTAGTGGCTGTATCCCCTTTTTATTCTCAATAAGGGACCCTCAAGTAAAGGATCAGACAGACAACGATCGTCATTAGAGGGATACCGGAAGTACGTTATAGTTAATGCGCGGGAGTATTCAAATGCATTGTTATTAAAGACTTGTATTAAACAAGCTAGAATAAATGGATGGTAAAGGTATAGAATACCTCGTTCAGTTCAAATTTTGATAAAAATACACTCATTCGACGCGTTTTTGCACGAAACAAACGAATCTGGCAATAAAAACTTTTTAGGTGTTCAACCAACACGACCAGAGGTATGATAGATTATCCATTTTTCTCTTCTTGTGAGAGATTTCGGGAAATGGCGCATTATATGGCCATTTCTACTTGAATTTTTGCAATTTGGAACTTCACAGTATCGCATTTCGCAATGATTTAAAAAATATATAAACTGTATTGTCGAACCGTACATACATACGTATAATCATATATGTAATACTACTATATGGCTAGTGCCTATAAGAGGGAGTGAGAGGAAGCGGTCCCAGAACCACGGTGCAGGAATATATATTTCTCTCTCTTTCTAAGATTATTTTGAGTGTTGTGCGCATGCGTTGAATTGATCGCATCCGCCAATAGGAAAATAGAGTGCGATCAGTGAGATGACGCGAACAGGTTATGCTCGTTATGCTTATTAGATGTGTGCTGTACACAGGCAAAATGGTCAAGATATGTTATTTATTAATAAATACTATCAGCTCATATAAAATCAAAAATTATAAAAGTTAAATATACCTCCCAGGTCAATAATGAGCTATATTAGTTGTTAATATTAAACAAATTTATTACAATCGATAAAATTAGCGCAGAACGTTTCGACTTTACAAAGTCATCCTCAGCTGCAATAAAATTCCCACTCAAATTAAACCGTTTACATGTCACAGACGCAACAACAAATAAAAATTATAAAACATTGTAAATTCTCTAATAAATATAAAAATTACATCCTCAACAGTCGCAAACTTTCATATAACAATACAATCGCTCCAATATTCGATGGCGGTAGTCAATTTACTTAAACGATGAAAAAACCTGTTATAATCCATTCTTCGTTTATATGCGAGAAAGATTAATCCCATGAAATTTCCAATCCGTTAGTCAAAATTAAAGAGCACAGAGCCCATATATGGATATCAAGTCATCAAATTCTATATGTAGGTTGAAACTGTATAAATCAAAAAAATTGACAATGAAACAACTGCAAAAACAAACCAAAAATTGAACACTTACATTATAAAAGAAGATAATTATTCACTAAATTTGCAAGTCAGATTATACACATCTTAACTATATGAAAAGTAATGTACAAATGATAACGTTTATGAGTTTAGAAAGTCAAAGTGGTTGATATTTATTATTATTATTTATTATTATTGATTATTGTCATTGTTTATTGTCACCAATACGTTCCAGCAAATGTACATATACATCGTCAAGAGATTCGGTATCCTTCTTTAAATTTATTCCATTTAATTGTTCTTTAATATGTAAAGTCTCTGAGATTAGTCTCTTATTATAATTAGGTTCATAATCCATAATTTTAGTATTGTTCCAATCAAATTCATGATTACATTGTAAAATATGGTTAGTTAGTACCGAATGTCTAGACTGCTCAAGCTTTTTATTATTCATATGTTCTTTAATTCTTGTGCTCAATTTCCTTTTAGTTTGTCCCACATAGGTTATATCACAATTTTTACATGGGATCTTGTATACAACATTATTATTGCTAGCTATTTCTTTTTTATCTTTGAGTGTTTTTATAAACATATCTAACTTATTCAAGCATCTGTAACCTATCTTGTAAAGAGATTTATTAAACATGTTCGTAACTGCATGTGTTATACCTTGTATAAACGGAAGTACCATATATTTCTTTTTTACATTATTGTTATTATTGGAATTGTCATTAATTGTGTTATTGGAATTGTCATTAATTGTGGACACAATCTTTTTGGATTGAATCAAGTTTTTTATTCTTCTGTTGAAATATTTAAAGATGAAATCTATAGGATATCCATTCTGTAAAAGTATTGTAATGCACTGTTCTAAATTTTTTTGTTGAAATTCAGGATGTGATAATAAAATCGCTCTGTCCACAAGGCTATATATAGTGCCTATTTTGTGACAAATAGGATGATTTGATAAAAACGACAGATATCTGCCCGAAAAAGTCTTTTTATGAAACCAATCAAGTTTTACAATTCCATCCTCCACAATTAATAACAAATCCAAAAAGCTGATCATATGGTTTTGTTCAAATTCTACTGTAAATTGCAACCGTCTATGTATGTTGTTAAAGGTGTCTTTAATAACTTCAATTTTATCCTCAGGTGCTGCCAAAATTATATCATCCACATATCGAAAATAAAAAGTACAACAGAAATTAAGTGAATTTAAAGCTTTCTCTTCAATGTCCCGTAATACTAAATCAGCTATAATCGGGGATAAAGGTGAACCCATAGGGGTTCCAAAGGTCTGCTTGTATATGATATTATTAAATTTAAAAAAAGTAGAAGAAAGAACAAACATTACAGCATCAATGAATTCATTTTTCGGGATAGTTATTTTTTGTTCTATAAAATCCCATCTTTTGTTTATGCTGTCCATTGCCAAATCATGAGGGATGTTAGTGAACAAAGATATTACGTCAAGAGATATTAC